CAAGTCCAGCAATGCTGTGATGGTTCCCCTCACCCCTGAGGATGGCACCATGATCCCAACCCTGGCTGTCATAGGGGTGATGGTGCCACTTACCATCAGCTCGGCTTCCCCTTTTCTATCGCTCTTGTAGAAGGTTGGACCTGCTCGGGTGGTGGTCGGAGTTCCCTCTTGCTCACTGGACTGGGGAGAGAACTCGACAACCTGCTGCCCTACCTGTCTTCTCCTTCGGCTTCGCGGGGGGGCTCTTTTGGCCTGACTGGCAGGTGGAGGAGCAGAGACTGGCTGTGGTGTGAGGCACATGGCTGCTTGATGACAATCCTTCCCACAGTGGAAACAGGCTCGCTGGTTCTGGTGAGGCTTGCCTCTTCTGGCTGGGGTTGCACCCCCTTTTCCCCCTCTGGGACCCAGTTCTGTGGGGTCGACTCTCCTGTGTGGCATGCTCTTGGAACTCCACCAGGTCGATCTCTACCTTGCTGGCCACTCGGAACCACGCAGGTTGTGCAGCACTCCTCGGGATATGCAGTTTTGGTATAGCTCTCAGTTTAGCCCTTCTCGGAAGTAGGAAATGAGCAGACGCTCGGGCCAGTCCCTCAAGTGGCTAGCTAGGCTGCGGAAGTCTTGGTTGTACTCTATCACCGGCCTCTTTCCCTGCTTAAGGGTGCGGATGCGGGATGCCATGCGTCGGGCCGCCACGGGGTCCTTAAACTGCCCACGTAGGATCTGCATTAATGCATACAGATCGCCCAGCTCTGGTGCCCTGCTATTGTGCAGGGACTCTAGCCTTCTGGCAGCACCGTCTTCCAGATTGGATTGCCACTGCGTGAACCCAGGCTGCATCATCTGGATACATCCCCCCATAGTGCTCCATATGGTGCCACGTCTGGGCCAAGAAGTGGGCCAGCTTGTCCGGATCCCCATCGAAACAGACCATCAGAGGGGGTGGTGGCCGTTCGTCTCTTACTCAGGTGGTAGGGCCGTGGCTGCCACCAGTGGAAGAGGACGAGGGACCCCAGTTGCTGCTGGGGTCACGGAGGCCGCTCGTGGGGACCCAATCGTCCTGGCAGGTGCTGGCACCACTGGTTGTAGGAGGGGAGGAGATGGGGTGATTAGCGATTTCACTCCCCCCGTCCCAGCCACCGCCACCACAGCACCCGGTGACACCGCTCCTTTGATCTCTAGCCTGCCGAACTTTTCCCCCAGTTGCTCCACCGATGGGCTGCAGGTGGCCACAGGAAATTTCCAATGGATTGGCCAACGAAGAAAGCAAGTCAGCTTTGATAGTACGAGCATTGCCTCTGATACACATAGAATATCTATGTTATTTTTTTGCAGAAATAAGACATATGCACATAAAACTGTGTGTGTTTGTAAGACAGAAAAGGAACAGGGTTGAAAACCTGCCCCTCTTCCAAGGAATTTAGTAAGTCTGCCTAATTTAAAGAAATCTCCCAGAGGCACTAGGAAATAATCACAATATTTTTGCTTCCCAAGGCAGACCTGCAGAGATGAGTTGTAATTCACAGCTGAAAATATAATTAATTAGTAGTCTGATTATGACAGGGAAGTTGAAGGTGGTAGTTGTGCCCACATAAATCATTCTTTGGTCTTGGGCAATCTTCTGTATTCATTCTATCAAATTTGTCTGGTTAGACAGGCTCGTTACTCGTCAGGGAGGCTTTGGAAATTATAAAGCATATTGGACAAGGCAGCCTCCAGGTGGATTTCAAAATCCTCATGTTTGCAAGCTGTGGATATCCCACAAGCTACCTCCCAATTAATTTATGAGATATGAAGGCTGATGGGTAAGCATTGTTGCTGGTATACTAATACTGTTGAATCTTAATACTATTTTAAGTGCCTATTACTAAACATAAAGTGCATTCAGAAAGTATACCCTTCACTTTTGTCAATTTTGTCATGCTGTGGCCTGATTCTACAGTTGCTGAAATTCACTTTTTCTCATTAATCTACACTCAGTACCCCATAATGACAAAGTGAAAACAGAATCTTAGAAATGTCTGTAAATTTATTAAAAAGAAAAAACTGAAATATCACATTGGCATAAGTATTCAGACCCTTCACTCAGTACTTTGTTGACGCACCTTTGGCAACAATTACAGCCTCGAGTCTTTTTGGGTATGACACAACAAGCTTTGCACACATGGATTGGGGAATTTTCTGCCATTCTTCCTTGCAAATCCTCTCAAGTTCAGTCATGTTGGATGGTGATAGTCGGTGGACAGCCATTTTAAGGTCCTTCCAGAGATGTTCACTAGGGTTCAAGTCAGGGCTCTGGCTGGGCCATTCAAGGACATTCACAGAGTTGTCCCTAAGCACTCCTGTGTTGTCTTGACTGTGTGCTTAGGATCGTTATCATGTTGGAAAGTGAACCTTCGGCCCAATCTGAGGTCCTGAGCGCTGTGGAACATGTTTTCATTGAGGATATCCCTGTACTTTGCTCCATTCAGCTTTCCCTCAACCTTGACCTGCTGCTGAAAAATACCCCCACAGCAGGATGCTGCCACCACCATGCTTCACTGTTGGGATGATATTGGGCAGGTGATGAGAGGTGCCTGGTTTCCTCCAGACATAACGTTTAAAATTGAGGTCAAACAATTCAATCTTGGTTTCATCAGACCAGAGAATCTTGTTCCTCACAGTCTGAGAGTCCTTCAGGTGCTTTTTTGCAAACTCCAAGTGGGCTTTCATGTGTTTTGCACTGAGGAGAGGCTTCCATCTAGCCACTCTGCCATAAAGCCCAGATTGGTGGAGGGCTGCAGTGATGGTTGTCCTTCTGGAACTCTGTCCCATCTCCACACAGGATCTCTGGAGCTCAGTCAGAGTGGCCATCGGGTTCTTGGTCACCTCTCTTACTAAGGCCCTTCTCCCCCAATTGCTCAGTTTGACCGGGCGACCAGCTCTTGGAAGAGTCCTAGTTGTGCCAAACTTTTTCTATTTGAGAATTATGGAGGCCACTGTGCTCTTAGGAACCTTCAATGCAGCAGAAATGTTATTGTAGCCTTCCCCAGTTCTGTGCCTTGCAATAATCCTGTCTCTGAGCTCTTCAGGCAGTTCCTTTGACCTCATGGCTTTTGCTCTGCTACAGTATGCATTATCAGCTGTGAGGCCTTCCTTAGAGAGCTGTGTGCCTTTCTAAATGGTGTCCAATCAATTTAATTTACCACAGGGTGACTCCAATCACGGTGTAGAAACATGTCAGCAACCATCAGCACCTGAGCTAAATTTCAAGTGTTGTTGCAAAGGGTCTGAATACTTATGCCAATGTGATATTTCAGGTTTTTTAAAAAAATAAATTTACAGTCATTTCTAAACTTCTGTTTCACTTTGTCATTATGGGATACTGAGTGTAGATTAATGTGAAAAAAATGAATTTCAACAACTGTAGAATCAGGCTGCAGCATAGCAAAAGTGAAGGTGGTCTGAATACTTTCGGAATGTACTGTAAGTACTCATAACTGGCTGATTTTGGGATGAAATAGCTGAGAAGGGGAGCTGAAATCTGATGGATATCAATCAGATTATTGCACTCTTCCAGGATCACATTTGGAGTGGAGGTTGACTTCCTGTAACTAACCAGGCATATAACAAAAGCACTCTTGAGAACAAGCAGGTTGCTCTCTTGCTACTAGATTTAATACAATTAGGAAGGACCAGCAATGTAATAGGTATAATAGTGTCTGCTTTTCTAACATTCCTGTTTCTTAATTGCCTTCCCAGGCTCTCTTTGATTATTATAATTCTTATGTTTAAAGCTCATCCATACATATTTGATAGAAATAAAGCACCAATGAAATACTTGAGGGTTAGGGTAAAGATCAAGCTATTTATCTTTTTTTAAAAGTCCCAACTTCATGATTTAAAGAACATCATGTTGCAATAGCCCCCATCCCATGTACACTTACCATCATAAACATGTTAAAATAGGATGGTGACATAGTGTCCTACAAATGCTTGGGACTACAACTCCCACAGCACCTTGCAATCAGCCATGCTGGACCAGTTGATGGAAATATGTGTCCCAAACAGTGGTGGGATTCAAATACCTGAACAACCGGTTCTCTGCGTTGACATTGCTTCTGGACATCCATTCTGGGCCTGGGCCTACGAGGCTCAGAACGGACTTCCAGAAGTGACGTCCACGCACTTCTGGTGGGCCGTTCTGGGCCTGGGAGGCCTCCCCCAGACCTCCGAGGCTCAGAACGGACTTCCAGAAGTGGCATCCATGCACTTCCAGTGGGCCGTTCTGGGCCTGGGAGTCCTCCCCCAGGCCTCCGAGGCTCAGAACGGACTTCCAGAAGTGGCATCCATGCACTTCCAGTGGGCCGTTCTGGGCCTGGGAGTCCTCCCCCAGGCCTCCGAGGCTCAGAACGGACTTCCGGAAGTGGCGTCCATGCACTTCTGGGGTCCATTCTGGGCCTTGCAAAAAAGGACTAGGGCTTCAGCCGGTTTGCCGAATTCAACAAAAAACTAGCTACCGGTTCTACCGAACCGGTGCAAACCAGCTGAATCCCACCACTGGTCCCGAATACCTGGAGGACATCATGTTGTCTAACCTTGACTTAAAAAACAATAACTGTAGTACCCTAGCTTCACCTTGTTTGGCATGCCTTTTTAAATGAGTGAATTCTTCCTTCCTAAATACTAAATTATTCTTGATATTGTCATCTTTTACCTCTGGAATCTGAAAACGGGGTGTGTGTGTGTCCACTGGCTGTGTTTACTAAGGATTTCCAGTTACTGATTCTTCAAGTACAGCTGTGTTTCAGAGCTACTATTCTAGGCCAATTAAATATTTGGTCCCAAGTCCAGTAATTTATTAGAATTTCTAGATATCAGTTTCTTACAACCTTTTAAGAATCAAGAGAATCAATTTGTTTAGAGACACAAAACAGGCATGGAGGGAGGAAAAGGAGATGGGAACCATTTGGCATACTCAATAAACTAATTTTCTCTTCTTGCTGTTTTCCTTTCATAGAAAAAGAAAGATTATGAAATTGAGCTTTTGCGTTTCCTGGAGGTGAGTGTGATCCATAATACGAGGGCAATTCGGAAATAAACCTCCGTTTGGTTATCAATGACAGACACTTGCAGATACAGAACTTGTATTTTACACATTAGAAAACTACAACATTACATTACTTTTCAACATAATTGCCATTCAAATTGAGGCACTTGTCATAACATCTTACAAGGTTTGAAATTCCTTCTGCAAAAAAATTTCCCACCTGGGAATGAAGCCACCCTGTAACAGCATCATGAAGCGCATTGTCATTGTCGAAGTCGTGCGACGCAAGCCACTGTTTTATTTAAAAAACTGGTTCATTTTCAATTGATCTAGCGGACGAGTCAACTGCAACACAACCTTCTCCTTCCACTCCTCACTGCCTACTGAACTACTGCGCACGACACCATAGGACAGGCATCGCTATCCCCGCCTATTTCTCGCACATGCTCAAATGTAGGTTTATTTCCAAATTGCCCTCGTACACTGATACACATGTTTAACTATCTCCAGTTAAATGAATTGAACTTGAAAAAAACTTGACATTGGTTGGACCATAATCACTACAACAGTTCACTGATTCTCATTTGGCACAGGAGGGAAGAAAGACATACTATTTTCTTGAACCTTTCTTATTCTGTTATGGGACCATAGTGACAAAGCTCAATCTCCTCTTAACAAACCTGAATTCTTTTTCCTTAGCAGGGATAAGCAAGTTAATAATAAACTCCAGTTGTGTTTATGTCCACTTTTATTTTTGCACAATATTTGAGCCGATAAATATTTGAAAATACATTCTAGCAGTTTCCATGTATTACATGCCAGTCTGTATGGTTTGGGTGGATCACGCTGGGTTTCTAGATAAAAAATTCTGGGCAAATTTCTTCTATATGTTGGAACCTCAATCATATAAAGCACCTTGAAAAAGGTTGTGGGTAGTATAAACAAGATTGTATACATGTTGAAGAAAGCTGGAAACCCCCTCCTCACCCCAGCATGATTCAGCAGCAGCCTGAGGCTAGGTGGCAACCACTTAACACACACTAAATGGAAAGCTGGCTGGCAGCAATTAGGACTATTCACACAACAATACGGCTATCACACACAACAATAAAGCCATTAAACACCTTTCAGGCAGGATTAGGAAGGAAATTTACCCAACAAAAGCCACTGACCAGCAAATCAGAAAAGATAGATTCAAACTCACCAATCAGAAAAGACAAGTTTTGGAAACCACGAAAGGGTATAAAAACCCATGTTTTAGAACCATTCTGTCTAGCTAGCCGGGGATTCAAGCTGAACTGTCACTTAAATTTTGATCCTCGAGATTAAACCTCTCTTTTCGGTAGCTGGCTTCACGACCTATTTCTTCCGCGTTGTGCCGTCAAGGAAAATCCCGGCTGGAAGAACCGAAAGGGGAAATTCCTCTCAACAATTATCTGGCGACCACGAAGGGACTCCCAGGTCACCCGCCACCGGACCGGGCCCGGAAGAGCCTCTACCCAGCCGGCAGCGGACACCTTGTTCCGCGGGAAAGCCTCCACGGACCCTGCCCGGTCAGCAACGGGTATTAAAGGGAGTTTTTGACTCTTGCGCTCGGACAGCTACCTGGAAAGAGGGTAAGTGCCACCAAATTTAAGCTTATTTAGCTAAAGGGTCTGGGGAACGAAAGGAAGAGTGCATGAGTGTGTGTATGGGGCACCCTCCTCTAAGAATCAGCTGGAGCTCACCCCCTCCGTATGCCCTCTAGCCGCACCCCGACCCGCTGCTAGTTCCACTGGAGCCGTGACCGGCGGGATTCGGGAAAGCAAGGGGGGGGCATTGGAGCGTGAGACCTTCAGGTGAAGGAGGAGAGCCGAGCGGGCAGAGAAAGAGGGGAAGGATTCTATTTCGGGTAAACCAGGACCCCTTCCGTCAGCAACATTTAAGCAATAGCCCTAATTTAGAGCGGTCCACTTACCTCTGAGAGCAAGCAGAGGTCCGCAGCGGATGTTAGGGGTCCACAAAACAGTTGTGGTGAAGCCGATCGGTGGTAGAGTGACCCGTACCTTCTGAGGGGAAACCAGAAGCGTCTCTACAGGCCCCTTTTTGGGTCTGAAACCGTGGGGGATCCCGCAAGGATCCCGCGTACTCTGTGAGGGATCCAGAGTGCTCCGTGAGTCCCCTTTTTTTGGGACTCACAAAACCACGGAGGTAGGAGGAAGCTTCGCAAGGAAGCTTCCGGTATATAGAGCCCGTTTAGTGAAAGTATGGGAGGTTCAAGTTCGAGGGCTGAGATAGGTTCCCCAGTTGAGAGCTTGCTCGACGCCTGGGACAGGAATCAGCTACCTGTCCAGGCTGGGATGAAAACGAAACGGTTAAAAGAGTTATGCAAAAAATGGGCTTTGCTTAAAGATGAATGCGGGAGACAGATTTGGCCTGAAGGTGGCACTTTTGAATTCAAGACACTGAAAGCGCTGAGATCAAGGATAGAACCGACCCAATTACCCTACTGGTATTGTTGGGCTGAATTGTCTAGACAGAAAAACTCAATCCAAGTCGACTTAAAACCCCTTCCCCCTCTGTATAACCCTGAACCGTATAACCCTGAACCAACCTTCATGGCCCCCTTGTTGAGCAGGCCCATTCCCGGGCAACCGAGGGGCCAGACCGGACACATTCTAACCCACACTCCCTTCTCCCCGTCTGACTTGGTCGTCTGGAAGAAGGACACTCCTTCCTTCCGAGCGGACCCCCTGTCAGTCATAGAAACCATAAGATCTATTGTGGATAACCACAATCCGTCATGGGCAGACATGACTCAACTGCTACATATGTTTTTAACCAAGGATGAACTGATGAAACTTTTTGAAAAAACGGAAGAGATAGCCAGGCGCCCCGTAATAAACGCGCCGGGACAAGTAAAGCCCGCTAGGGTTGCCTGGCCTCTCAACCGCCCAGACTGGGATTATAATAATCAGAACCACTGGGATGACTACACAAGGGCCAAAATTAATTTAATAGAAGCCCTCCAGGAAATAGGGAAAAAGCCCCTCAACTGGACTGAATTCCAAAAGACAAGGCAGAGGGACAAGGAAACCCCAGATGCCCTCTGGGTCCGTCTCTTAGAGGCTGGAACCACGTTCGCTCATTTAGACATAGGGTGCCAAAAAGACCAAAGCATTCTGGCCGCCGCTTTTGTTAATCAATCTGCGAATGATATCCGAGGCCATTTCCATAAAATAGTTTCTAACTGGTCAACCTTAGACGTCTCGGAGTTGCGCAGGATTGCAAACTTCGTATTTGACCAAAGAGAAAAATTGGCAGAGGAAGGAAGCAGACCGAGACAGAGAGAGAGAGAGAAGGCGCAGGACGGAAAGGAGGGAGGACCTACAAGCTTTTGCTTTGATAAGTAGGGATAATCAGGGAAGGCACTACAGTCCAACTCCAGAGGGAGTAAGGAGGTGTCGGCAATGCGAGCTGGAAGAAAGAACTTCCTGCTGGCATTGCTTCCGATGTGGGGGAGACGGACATACCAGAAGACACTGCAGGGGAGGTCAGAACAGGGAAACCTGGAATCAACATCGCCGACCAAGACCCCCTTTCTCAAGAGAAACCACCCATCCTCAGAATGAATATAGGGATCGAAGTCTGCCCCAATGGGAGCGGCAAGAACACGACCTATCTTGACTAGAAAGCGATTATAAGCCCACATTTCATGGGCTGGCCATTCCTTTAAAGGACGGCCCCGATGGAGAACCCCTTTTAACCATAACCATAGGGGGAAAGGCGTACGAATGTCTCATTGACACCGGAGCCACCTCCTCCCTTATTACCACAGCACCCTTTAAAGAGTCAATAGTGCCCGGGGCCAAGGATAATGTAGTGGGGGTGGGTGGAAACCTCATCCCGGTCGAATTCACAAACAGCTTAAAGGTGGAGGTCGGCCCATTCTCCTTGGAACACCCCTTTACTGTCTGTCCCCAATCCCCCCTGTCTCTCCTGGGAAGGGATTTGCTTTGCAAACTAGGAGCCACCATCGTCTGCACTACAGAAGGGCTTCATTTAGACATCCCAGTTAAACGGGCACCTCTTTCTATGATGTGCTCAACTGAAAGGGAGGTCCAGCTGCCAATAGACCTCAGAGGCTTACCGGCCTCTCTGTGGGGATGGGATCCTACTGAGGTAGGACTGCTAAAGACAGCTACCCCGGTCGTAATCCAAGTAAAGGCAGGACCGCCACCATGCATTCCCCAGTACAAAATCCAGCCGGAAGCGATAAAGCCGATTCAAACCCTAATAACAGCATACCTAAAGCAAGGAGTACTGCGTAAATGCACCTCCCCTTGCAACACCCCAATCTTTCCAGTCCGAAAGCCCAAATTAGACAGCGAAGGGAACCCCGTTTACCGCTTCGTACATGATATGAGGGCCGTGAACAGTCACGTGGTGCCAAGGGCCCCAATAGTACCAAACCCGGCCACCATAATCACCGAGGTGCCGGCGTCAGCTACCCATTTCACAGTAATCGATCTCTGCGCAGCTTTTTTTAGTATTCCGGTGGATCCGGCATCACAATACCTTTTTGCCTTCACGTGGGAAAAGCAACAATACGCCTGGATTCGACTGCCACAAGGCTACACAGAGTCTCCCACTCTATTTTCACAAATACTAAAGGGAGATCTGGCTTCCATTCTCCTGCCATGCAAATCCACTTTAATCCAATACGTGGACGATCTACTGCTAGCATCTGAGACAGAGGAAAATTGCAGAGCAGATACCTATCACTTATTAAAATGTTTGGGAGAAAGGGGGCATAAANATGAAACATCCGCAGACGAAACGCCAGGTCCGCGCCTTATTAGGGGTCTTGGGATTTTGCCGCCCGTGGATTACAGCGTTCGGGGAATTAACAAAACCCTTAGTCCAATTAACCACAAAGGATCAACCAGATCCTATCGAATGGACGAAGGAATTGGCAAATACCCACAAAAGAATAAAGCAAACCCTAGCCTCAGCCCTGGCCCTGGGTCTCCCTAATTACGAAAAGTTTTTTTTCCTTTTTGTCCATGAAAACAAAGGTGTGGGTTCAGGGGTGTTAGCGCAGAGATTTGGTCCATCACTCCGGCCGGTAGCCTATTATTCAGTCCAATTAGACCCGGTAGCTAAGGGAGCCGTTCCGTGCCTAAGAGCCGTGGCTGCGACCGTAGAACTGGTTAAGAGATCAAAAGACCTGGTTTTGGGATACCCCCTCATTTTAAGAGTTCCCCATGATGTGTTTGCGATACTTTTAAAATCACAAACTCAGGCATTCACCCATCAGCGCCTGGCCCAATACGAAGCGGAACTATTCACAGCAGAAAACATCACCTTTGAACGTTGCAACACACTCAACCCGGCAACATTATTGCCCAGTGATCCGACAGACGGAGTGTTACATGACTGTTTACACTTGGTCCAAGACGCTGAATTACCGCGTCCCGACTTAACAGATGTACCCCTTCCAAACGCAGACCTAGAATTGTTTACTGACGGCTCTTCGTACCTTCTCGAGGGGACCCGAGTAACAGGAGCTGCAGTGGTCTCCCTCCATGAGTCAGTCTGGGCTTCCCCCTTGCCCCCTCGCTACAGCGCTCAAGCAGCCGAGCTCATTGCATTAAAAAAGGCATGCGAGTTAGCCGAGAACCGGTCTGCTAGTATATACACGGATTCCAGGTACGCTTTTGGAGTCTGCCATGCGACCGGTGCTCTCTGGAAGCAAAGGGGTTTTCTAACATCTAATGGCCAGCCAATTGCTCACGCGAACCTCATATCTGACCTACTGAGAGCTATCCGACTACCCTCATCCCTTGCAGTCATCCATTGTAGAGCCCACCAGAAGGATGATTCTCAGGTCACAAAGGGAAACCAATTTGCTGATGTGACAGCTAAATGGGCTGCTAGTCAACCACTGAGGGCATCTACCACTCTCCCTGCGGTACAGTTAGGACCCACAGTACGATACCAGGATCTGTTAGAACCAGGAGAGATAAAAACATGGGAGGAGAAATGCGAGGCAATACATAGAGAAGGATTTTGGTGGGTCCCGGATGGGAGACCCATAGCACCCAGACGTCTGCTGCGGTTAATCTGTCAGCAGTTGCACTCTAAAGGGCACTGTGGGACTCAGGCAATAGTAGATGCCATAAGGAGAGTATGGTATGCCCCAGGGGTCTACAGTGAAGCCACTCGGATAGCCAAAACATGTCAAATATGCCAAGCAAACAATGCTTCCTCAAGAAAGGCAACACACACAGGGGGGTGACCATGGGCACAACGCCCTTTTGAAAAGCTCCAATTAGATTACATTCAGCTCCCTAGGAGCAATGGATACCAATACGTGCTAGTCTGCAGAGACCAGCTCACCCACTGGGTGGAGGCATACCCATGTTGCCATGCCACGGCCTTGGAAACCGCAAGGCACCTATTAAAGGAGCTGGTACCCAGGTTCGGAGTCCCAAGCGTTTTGGACATGGACAGGGGCACACATTTTGTGTCACAAGTAATCACACATGTCCTCCAAGCGTTGGGCATTAAACAAGACTTACACACACCAAGACACCCCAGTTCCTCGGGGGGGGGGGTGGAGAGACAGAATAGAGAATTAAAAAGTCTCCTGGGGAAACTCTGCCAGGAGACCCGCCTGCCCTGGCCCCAAGCACTACCCATAGCCTTGTTCCACCTTAGAACCCGGCCAAGGCAAGACATAGGTGTCTCCCCCTTCGAATTATTGTTCGGCCGACCACCTGACACACTCAAAGGCCTTGACCCCCAGTCCCTCTGCTTAGAAAAGGGGGAGGTAGTCTTATCATCTTATCTTACAGCTCTACACCAGAGACTCAGAGAATTGTGGAAGCAAAGTGCCTTAACACAGACCTTACCATTGGAAGAAAACCTACACCGGTTCGAACCAGGGGATTGGATTTGGGTAAAGTCATACAGCCGCAAGTCACCGCTACAACCAAAGTGGAGTGGGCCATTTCAAGTTCTGCTAACCACCCAGACAGCAATCAAAGTAGCTGAAAGGAACGCCTGGATCCACTGGACGCACATCAAACCTGCAGTCGTAGACCACAGCAGTACACCTGAAGTAACACCAAAGGTTCCACCCCTGAGGCTTAAGAAAAACCCGGAAACTGAAGAGTGGACGCTAGAAACACTTTTTGAAACAGAGACAAATGGGGGAGGGAATTAAGTTTACTTTTGTTAGAATTTTATGTATTATTGTATTTTTGTATTCAAAATGTACCTCTGGGTTCATAGAACCAAAATTATTTCCGGAAAAGGGGAACATATGGGAGTATTTAGCAAAGGAAGTGCTAAACACTACAGAGTTTTGCCTGCAAGGGGGTAGATCAGTAAAGGACATTTTAACCACATGCCTGATGGGAGTAGCAATAGCACCAGAAGCCATCACTAACGACACTAGGCTAGGAGGACACTCACTGACAGCCTCATACTATAATATTTTTGAGTGGGGGACCACTACATACACAAAGGACAGCAACATGTACATATTGCAGGTAACAACTGTAACACGAGCAGCTACGTGCTTCACATTGACCGGATGCCACACGCCCAAGATCTCCAGCTGCTACAACCTCACCAACACTGAACTGGCCTGCAACAGCACCGTGGCCATCACCTTTTCATACGGCCATACGAAACTTCCTACCGGATGGTTTTTGCTTTGTGGCCTTAAAGCCTATTCCTACTTACCAGCAAATTCCACAGGAGGCCCTTGTACATTAGGGCGACTAACTATGTTGATGCCCTCCCTGCAAAGGCGGCAAAAGAGAAGCTTCCAAACGTTACCTCCTGACTGTGATTCAAAAACCTCCCTCCTCACCAGGGCTGAATATATTGCATTGGCCATCTCTCTAGTGGGAGTGCCAGGGCTTGCAACACGAAACTCAAGGAACATAAATAGCCTGGCATGCACCCTAGCCAAAAGTCTAAACACCACCTCCCATGCTCTAGATGCCTTAAACAAAGAACTAAGGCAAGTTAGAGAAGCAACCCTCGAGAATAGAGCAGCCATTGACTACCTATTGTTAAGGCACAATCATGGCTGTGAAGAATTCCGTGGGCTCTGCTGCTTCAACCTATCTGACCAATCCGGACTAATTGAACGGGATATCAAACATTTAAAAGAACTAGCACAAAACATTGGACACAATCAATCACCCTGGGACCTTTCTTGGCTCTTCTCATGTTTACCAGACTTCCACTGGGTAAGAATTCTCGTTGGAAGTATAATCACAGTCGTAGTAGGCGGAGCCCTCCTTTGTTGCCTATGCCAATTAGCCCCTTTAGGGTTAAAATGCCTAAAGATCGGCACAACTCTAACCAGAGGCAAAAAACAGAGCAAGAAAACCTCTCTCATGATGTGCCAAATTGATCACCACTACCGTATATATGAACCAGTTGGGCTGATCACTGGTACCCCAGAGATAGCCCAAAATGGGGGAATTGAAGAAAGCTGGAAACCCCCTCCTCACCCCAGCATGATTCAGCAGCAGCCTGAGGCTAGGTGGCAACCACTTAACACACACTAAATGGAAAGCTGGCTAGCAGCAATTAGGACCATTCACACAACAATATGGCTATCACACACAACAATAAAGCCATTAAACACCTTTCAGGCAGGATTAGGAAGGAAATTTACCCAACAAAAGCCACTGACCAGCAAATCAGAAAAGATAGATTCAAACTCACCAATCAGAAAAGACAAGTTTTGGAAACCACGAAAGGGTATAAAAACCCATGTTTTAGAACCATTCTGTCTAGCTAGCCGGGGATTCAAGCTGAACTGTCACTTAAATTTTGATCCTCGAGATTAAACCTCTCTTTCCGGTAGCTGGCTTCACGACCTATTTCTTCTGCGTTGCGCCGTCAAGGAAAATCCCGGCTGGAAGAACCGAAAGGGGAAATTCCTCTCAACAATGTCTTCCTCTCCCTTCAGCAGATTTTATGAGTTTTTCAGTGATCTTCAGAGGGGACTCCTTATTCCTAGGCAGGGAAGAACAGGTAAAAGATTAATACAGTGCAGATGCTATATAGGTAGTTCTTGTTTAGTGACCACAATTGGGACTGGAATCTTGGTCATTAAGCAGAGTGGTTGCTAAGTAAAACCACAGCTATGCTTACAATCTTACGTCAGCTTTTCTTTGCTTTATAGACCCGCAAAGGTTATAAATAAATTTAAATAAATAAATAAATAAATGCAGGCATTGATTGCAAAGTTATTTTTCATCACCATCATAACTGAATAGTTGCTGTTCAAGGCACTTGCTAAACAAGGACTACCTGTACTACTAATCTAGCACCTTCTTGGGAAAGTATGCTTCCCAGAAGAAAATGAATAGGCAGCTATGGAGATTTCTGTTAATACTGAAAAGGTTGCCTAATCACATACAGGTTTATTTGCTAAATAGGGAAATTACAAATATGCCAATGTTGTGATTCTATAAACTTTTTAAAAAGATTGTGATTATCTTTTAGAGCCTGCCTGAAGAGGAACAACAGAGGGTTTTGGGAGAGGAAAAAATGCTGGGAATAAACAAGAAGGGTGCCACCAGCCCTGCCTCTAAGAAGTCATCACCAGATGCCCGCAAGGTGGGTGACCTACACACTTCAGGGGCATGACTTACTGTGGATATGGATGCATTTTTACATTGAAGCAGTGGGATGAATCTGACCTTTAACCCAGCCTCAAAACTTCATTTTAAATGGCTGCTGGACTTGCTTTAGAAATTTTATTACTAAACATGATGCCACCATTCCCCAAACAGTCCAGCAGACTTAGAGAAAACGTAATTAATAAATCATCTACCTTTTAATGTATTAACTGTTAATCAGTTAAAATAAATTCATATATGCTCAAAAGTCTTAACAGAGAAGCCTTTTTGAGATATTGGATGTGTGAATAATTGACTGTTTTTTAATAAATTAACCTCATTGTTATACTCAAATACTCATCTTTGGAAAACTTTTTTTTCTTTTTTTTCTTTGCATTAAGGCAGCTAAAAAAAATTGCTTTAACTTACAGTCCTATCAGTTAAAATTTGATCTCACTTGTATGAATGACTTCCCCTACAGATTAATGAAGTAAAATGTTAGTTGATTAATCTGATAGATAAGGTTTGCAGATCTAAAATTAAATTTTCCCTTTTACTTTTTTTTTCCTTTTTCTATAATGCCTACAAAAAAATAAACAAAAAAGACTTCTGGTTTGCCACCGCAGCCGCCGCGGCTGCTGGAAGGCGAGCTCCATCTTCCGCGTTCAGTTTCACTTCACTGGGGGACCCTGGAAAGGGTCGAAAGTCTCCCTGTAGGGGCGACGAGCAAGGAGGGGACCCCCGCTTAATTGCGGGAGGGTGGTAGCCCTTCCGCTCGATCCAGGGCAGCCCTCCAAACCAGCGGAGGAAAGACCGGCCATAGTAATATGGCTCGTCACTAGGCTGCAGAGAGCCGAAGTCAAACTCACCACCAAGCACTTCTAAAGCAATGCAGATGAAACTGGGTGAGATCTGATCTTCTCTTTATCCTAAGTATTTTCTTTTCCTGTAAAAACTGCCCAAAGTATCTTTCCCCCTGTGAGGAGAGAGGGAAGGGAATTTCTATCCCACCCTCTAAGAATAGCGGCGACTGACTACCCAGGGGAATTAAAGCACTAAAGAGCAACTTTAATCTAATTGGATTTATATGTTCCTGAAACCTGGGGACCAAAAGTTTTCTTATCTTTATTGGAGACTTTTGTTTTTATTTACAAAAAAGAAATAAAATTGGAAAAAGGATTATAAAAATTTTGGACTTAAAAAACTTTAAATGGCATCAGTGACATCTTGTGGCGAGGTTTGGTATTACAACTTGTTCTTTCCTAAAAGAGACTTGGCTTGAAGCCCAGACTTTAGATAAGACTCTTTTGACTTTGGCACCACCTGTGAGAAACTCAGCTGTAAAGAGAACATCTGGGCGGCATAACTGGCCTACTTGAACTATGAATGTAAACCTTTACTGACTTTCAGAGTTATATGTGGGGAATTGCCTTCCTATTTCTTTATTTGAGGAACATTGGTTACTATATGAGATGATGAAATACCTTGGACTATAGAACTTTGTTTGACAAATTGACTTCTACTATAAAAACTATCTATAAACACATGAAAGAGAGGTCCCATACCTAGTTATAAAATTATTTTTAACATCTGATTTTAAAGTCCTCAACACATTATTAAAAGAATGAAGACCAGGAAAAGATCCTTTCCATGTTGAAAGTAATACATGAAACCATTCTTTCAGCTTGTGATAAAATAAGACCTAGCATAAAAGAACAAGGTGCCAGCTTAGATACACAAACCCAAACTTTGACTACAACCAAAGAACTAACAACGCAGAAGATAACAGAAGAAATGGAACAATCAAATATTAAGACAGAGGACTCAATTGACCAACAAATACAGTTCATGGAAAATCCAGAAAAAGGAGTGACAACACTGAAAATGGAAAAGACTTTCTATATAAATCAGAAGAAATTTGAGAAAGAAGAAGAACAGATTGAATGGAATATAAACATATCAGGGCAATCATGGGGAATTGGAATATTAGGGAGACAATTTAATGAATACAAATGGGCTAGTCCTTCCAAAAAAAGGGCAACTAAATGGTCTCCTTTATTTCAAATAACATATATAATAATAGAGGGAGATCTATTTGACGATCTAAAAGCATTGATATGGAAGGCCAGTTGGCAAAGGAAGAAAGCCAGAATAAGGTTGAAGAAAATTGGGGTTTTGATTTATTAGAGGGGATTTCATATTATTAATTAGAAGGTTAAAGGGAGAAGTTGAGATAAGAGGAATTTTGGTCATTAGATTTAAAATATTTGGAAATTAGTTGAAAATAAGGATCTTATCTGTTTAATATTTAAAAATTAGACCTAAAAGGAAAAAATAAATAATTATTATGAATATGTTTGATTTATTGATTAACCCAGGCAATATATATAATGGTTTTGATTTATTAAAGGGGATATTGTATTATTAAGTAGATGATTTTATATGGTGGGAAATAGAGAACTTTTAGGAAATAGAACAAGAGTATATTCAAATAGATAAAATGTGTATTTTGAATATTAGATTCTGTTATGAATTGAGATAAGGGAAATTTTGGTTACCTAAAGCCTGAAAATTATAAATATCAAATGTTAAATTGGAATATTGATGGGAAACTAAAAATTGGGGAAAAATTAATAACAGGATATGGATTGTTTATGAAGATTGAATGTAAAAAGTAATTAAGATATGTATAAGCTAAAAATTTATTGATAAATGTAATAAGGATGTTTTTACTGAGTTGATATAATAAGAACTGTATTAGCCTAAATACGAGACAGTAGATGTTAAGGGAAAAAGAGAGGAAATATTTGATGTTTTAACTTGAGATTTGTACTAAAGATTTTTATATGTTATCGAACTATTCATTAACCCAGCAACCACGTTGCTTCTTAAATACTTAAATGTAAAATTGGAAAATGAATAAAATATTTAAAAATAAATAAATGAATAAACAAAAAGATAAACGCAAAGGTCCACACCAATGAGTAACTTTGTGTTCTTTAACAGGGAGGTTCTGAGAAACCCAAACGGCCCATTTCTGCTATGTTTATCTTCTCGGAGGAGAAACGCAAGCAGCTGCAGGAAGAGCGACCTGAACTGTCGGAGAGTGAACTCGCCCGGTTGCTGGCACGGATGTGGAATGAACTTTCAGAGAAAAAAAAGGTTGTTTAATCAATAATGCACATTTTTCTAACCATCTTTTGGAGTAGAGATATAGAGGAGCATGTATTCTGCTCAGAGTCTCCTTGCAAGATGAGCAACAAATAACATTTAATAATAATGTGTCAGTCACATGGATTTTTTCTGTTAACTTAGATAAAACCAGGACCTTGACCCTCTCCCTCACCATTAAAAACTAGGAAAAGAAAAAAATACTTGCTAGAAGCCTGCAGGTAGGTTCTGGAATTTTCCAGAGCCATCAGCACCAAACAGCTCCATCACAGTCTGGGTGCTCTTACCATTCTACCTTGCATTACCTCTCTTATTTTTTCCCCCAGTTGGGTGTTGTATATGGAGCCGTAACTCAATAGTACCTTCATAGTGCAAAGATGGTCAGAGCCCTGTTAGGTATTCTTCAATAATTGCCATTTCCCAGGACATCTATGACTATTCCATGGACAGGTCTTGAGGCTTGGTTTAGAAGCCTGAGAAGGAGAATGTGTGTGACTTTGGGGAAATTATACACACAGCTTGATTGCCAGTTAGAAAGCTGGGTTTGAGCGGAATGAGACAGAGTTGGTGTGGTTTAGGTACATGCATCAGAGGCTGGTTTGGAGTAAAGACAAGGCTATTTATCAAACTACATCTTGGCCTGTACACTCATCCTTAAGCTGAAGAGCATCTTTGCACAAGGAAGACCTTAGTGAGCAGTAAATTTTTTAGGAAAATTTTTATTAGCTTTCTTTATGCTCATATTTTGGTGCCTTTGGGTCAGTGTTGACTCCCGGCGACTGCCTGGATGGGTCTCTGTAGTATTTTTGGCAAGATTTTGGAAGTGATTTGCCATTACCTCCTTCTTAGGGCTGAGAGACAATGACTAGTCCAATGTCACCCTGCTGGCTTTGTGCCTAAGGCCAAACTAAAACTCACAGTCTCCTGGTCTATAGTCTGATACCTTAACCACTACACCAAACAGGCTCTCATAAATTGAATTGCTGCTTTTAAATTTGGTTAACTAGTCTTAGTTGCTCATGTTTACTGATCTTGTAAGCCAGGTGTCCTCAACCCCCGGTCCGTGGACCAGTACCGGGCCGCGGCATGCCAGCAACCGGTCCGCACAAACAAGGAAAGCCCCATCCACAGGACGCAGGCAGCACACAAAACCACGCTTCTCCAGTCCGTGGAAAAATCTCTCTCCACGGAACTGGTCCCTGGTGCCCAAAACTGTTGTAAGCAGTACATAAGCACAGTGAACTGGCTATCACCACCAAAAATGTTCCTGTATTCATCCTTTCTCTTTGGGAAAAGAGCATAAGAATAGATTTGCCAAAACATATCACTTGTAGGCTTCATTAACTGAAACTGGCTTTGTAACACTGAGGCCTAGAAGCATGTTGGGGGAAAAAGGAAAGAAACTAAGTGAAATTTTGAATTCTCTAGGAAGCTAGATTCTGATTAGTCCAGCCACATCTCTAATATGTATATAATCTGTTTTTAATTATTTAATTATATCTTAGAAATATAGAAAACTGCTAGCAGAAAAAGACCTAGTGGTCCATCGAGTTTGCCCTTTGAGGTTGTTTTTTTTTCTTTTTTAATTTTTATATTTTATTAATTTTTATTTTATTTTTAACTTTTGTCGGATGATAGACATGTGTTTATCCCAAGCATCTTTAAACTCAGTTACTGATGATTGACCCACTACCTCTGCTGGAAGTTGGTTCCAAGCTTCCACTACTCTTTCTGTGAAGTAATACTTTTTAACAATACTTTTGAACTTCCCTCCTGTCAGTTTGAGGTTATACCCTCGTGTTCTTGCTTTTTGCTTAATATTGAAAATACTGCCTTCTAGAACTTTATTCACACCCTTAATATATTTAAAGGTTTCAATCATGTCCCCTCTTTCCCTTCTGTCCTCCAGGCTGTACATAGTCAGTTCCTCCAATCTCTCCTGATATGTTTTGTCCCTCAGACCTTGCACTGTTTTTGTTGCCCATCTCTGGACTAGCTCAATCTTATCGATATCTTTTTTAAGTGAGGTCTCCAGAACTGGACACAGTATTCCTAATGGGGTCTGACTAAAGCCCTATGTAGCAGGATTAGGACCTCCTTTTTCCTGCTGGTGATCCCTCTAGTGATGCATCTCAGAACTTTGTTTGCTTTCACAGCTACCTGGCATACTGTTTTACACAGTTTGCAGTCATTTGCTACAAGCATACCTAAATCATTTTCTTCTCTTGTTCTAACACTATACCCTCAATACTGTACTCTGCCAGAGGATTCTTTTTTCTCAAGTGTATGATCTTACATTTAGAAACATTGAACTGCAGTTTCCACATTTTTTACCAATTTTCCAGCAAAGCCAAATCGTTTTCCATGTTACAAATATCCCCAGGAACGTCAGCTTTATTACACACCTTTGTGTCATCAGCAAAAAGACAAACCTTACCTAGCAGTCTTTCTGTTATATCACTTACAAGCACATTGAACAGAACAGGACTTAGGACTGAGCCTTATGGTACACCACTTGTGACTGGTCTCTGTTCAGACAGTGCCCCATTAACAATCACACACCGGGATCTATCCCCGAGCCAACTTCCTATCCACTGAACCACCCAGTGTTTAAGACCTAACCTGCACAACCTTTTAATGAATTCATTATGTGGAACTATATCAAATGCTTTCCTAAAATCCAGATAGGCTATGTCCATAGCACCACCTTTGTCCAAAACATTTTGTCAAGTTCCAGCTGAGAAGCCCAACAAAGCAAAACACCAGAGACATTGTGTTCTCTAATGTAAACTTTATTAGGCATTAGCAAACCGGTAAGATAGAAAGGAAGCTAGCTCTGAGAAAATTGCAGGAAGCAGATAATGAAAAGAGTGAAACTTTCCCTCCCCTTTCTGACAGTTCAAGTCACATTGTCCAATATATCTTCCAGTAATTGTTATGAGAAGAAACTTCAGTTCACCAAAACAACTCTTCAACTGCTTCGGCTCTCACATTGATAAGGAACACCTGTGGATCCAAAGCTCTCCCCTCTCCCCCCCCCTCGGTACTGTAGACAAGCTAGAAGCATACAGTGGTCCTAAAGACGGTAGGTTTTGTAGCTTGATAGGCCGCCCCCCTAAGAAAGGAACCTGGAAAACAAAAAGGAATACACATCACTGCTTGTTTTTATTTATTTATATATATATATATATATAAAAGTTTTATTGGTTTTTTCCATTTTTTACAAAAGCTTAGGACACAACGTGGTGGTCAGACTGTCAAATCATTCAAGAACAAAATCATATACATATAGCTCAAATTAATTATAAACAATTTCCTCTCTATAAGAAATAATATTACCGTATATACTCGAGTATAAGCCGAGTTTTTCAGCCCATTTTTGGGGCTGAAAAATGCCCCCCTCGGCTTATACTCGAGTCAGCGTCTCGAAGCAGCTGCTGTTGCCGCCGCCGCCGCCAGGCAAGCCACAGCGGCTTGCCGCTCGCTCCCCCTCCCCTGGCGCTGCGCTCCGCCTGCTTGCCCGGCGGCGGCGGCCACTCGCTCCCCCTCCCCTGGCGCTGCGCTCTGCCTGCTTGCCTGGCGGCGGCCGCAACAGCAATGAGCTGGGCCAGCGTGTTCCTGCCGCCGCCGCAGCCGCCCGGCTCGTTCACGCCGCCGCCACCGCCCAGCGTGTTCCTGCCGCTGCCGCAGCCGCCCGGCTCGTTCCCGCCACCGCTGCGGCTGCCCAGCTCATTCCCGGCGTCGACCCGGCCTGTGATGCTCCAGGTACGGCCCTCCCCCCTTACCTTCCGTTCCCTGCGGCGCTGCGTGTCGAGGCCGGGACGGAATACCCCGGGCCGCTGCAGCCAAGCGCAAGGGGGAATGCCAGACACCTCGCGCGAAGGGGGGAGGCCTGGCGATGCTGCGCGCTGCCGGGCGCTCACTGACAGGGCCGGGGGGGCCGAGGCGGCCAGGGAGGAACAGCCAACTGCCGGCAACCAGCCGGAACTGCTGGGGCCGGCCCGTATTGAAGAATACGGCCGAATTTACCCAGGCTGGCCAAGAAAGGCGCACCTCCAGCCTTCCCCACAACCGTGTGTGTGCTGGAAAATGCCCCCTCGGCTTATACGCGGGTCACCAATTTTTCCCAGTTCTTTGTGGGAAAATCGGTCCCTCGGCTTATATTCGGGTCGACCTATACTCGAGTATATACGGGTACTTATTAAAATCAATACAATTTTAGATAAAGTTCCATCAAACAAAAATCCTCAATCACCTTGCAATTATGATAATCTATATCCTGTTTTAAGCTTTACTAATTACAATTGTCATATTCCAGTTACATTTCAATAGACATATAATTGGGATTTCAGGTATCCTTAATATTAGATCACTCATTAAGACTAATTTTTCCCTATCACAAATAGCTCTTACAACATATTTTTCATATTTAAAATAACAATATAAATTCAACAAATACAGTTCTATTTTTAAAAATATATTCTATAATTTCATCAATCTACATCTATAAAAAATCTTTTTAAGCCCTTTTATGAAGTTTACACCTTCAAATACTTATCAAGTATAATGTCAAGAAATTCCCAGCCTTCATTCATTATTAAATCAGACAGAAATTCTCTCTCTATTTCAAAATAATTATCATATTTAAAATAATAATGTAATTCCAAAAAATACATATCTATTTTTAAAAACATGTTCTATCATTTCATCACTCTACGTCTATAAAATCTTTTTAACCCCTAAACAAGTTTACTCCCTAATAATTATCAACTATAACAACAGTCAATTCTCATCCTTCTTTCGTTATTAAATGAGACAAAATCTCTAAAGCCTTTTTAACCCATCAAGTAGCGTTTTATCTCACATTTAAACCTGACTCTAGCTTTCTTTCTATGCCAAGTTAATTCCCATATTAAAACTTTTCGATTATCAAACCTCAAACTTTGATTACAAAAGTTTCTAACCAATTCAAACTGAGCA